ATGGTTATATCAAACAGTATACTTCCTGGTATCAGACAGGCTAATTCCTAGTCAAATTCGATATCATCATCTATAATGGAGTTAAAAGGCGCTAGAGGATTGAATTTAATATTGGAAATCGATATAGCAAATTTGATTCGTAGGCGGGGTTTGGAGGTCTATTTTGAAATCTGCACCAGAATCCCCCTTTTGGCCTATATGTTAAATAAAACTAGTTTTGGTAATTTCGTCTATTAATTAAACTAGTTTTATCACTTAACTAAACTAGATTTAGTTATTCTAAACTATAGAATTTTAGTTTTAGATAGCAACACTAATATAATTAATATAATTATTTATAAGGTTATAATCTTTAATAAAACACTTTCTTTTATATTTAATAAAATTATCCTTTTATTTAATTCTCATAATATTTATGTAATCTACTTGTGTATCACTTATATCATAGTTCATTAAGTTTTCATATTTACTATATGATTCAGCTGAAAAGTTATGATAAATTTATAATCTTTGATGACAGGTGGTAATAGTAATCAAGAATATTTTATTAATCAACTTAAAGTTTATAATATAACGAACTTAACTTTTTACCTAAAAATAAACATTTTATTTTTCAGGTAATATTAAATAAAGATTTTATTTATAATAATCATTTTTTCATTTTTTTCTTATTTGTATTTAATTTGAAAGGAGAAAGTTCTTCAATAACCTTTTATTTTTTTTATTTAAAATTGTTAAAAATTATATAATTTAAATTAAATTATAATATATATTTTAAATATTTTATAATAAAAATATATAATGCTTCATTTTTTTATACATCATCTATATTAGTAAAATAAGAAAGTTATGCATTCAACAGATAAATTATAACTTGAAATTATAATTACTTTAATTTAATATAAATAATTAATAATAAATTATAACTTTAATTTAAGAATATTTACATTTTCTATTGAAATAAGTGAAAAGAAAATTGGTTGAGAGTTACGTGAGAAAAAAATTTTTATGTTAAAAATTTTATAATATCTTTAAATTGATTTCATAATCATGGAACACTAGATAAATAAATCACTTATCTGACACTTTAAGTTGAATAACTGCTAATATCTATAAGATAGCTAATAATATTAAAAATTAAATTTAATTTACCTAATATAACAGTTATTTAATACTTTAAGCCAAATAATTATTAAATACTATATAAATATCATATCTATATTATTATAATACTATATCAATACTATTTTAATATTAATATTGATATTTTATCGATATTGTATTCATATTAAAATAATGTAGTAATAAACTTAATGATCTTAATTTAATTATTATCAAAATATAATAAAATTATCATAATGATTTATATTTAATATTAAATCAATATTATTAAAATTTTTTGAGTTTCTATAAATAGTAAAATCAAATCATAAGATATAATAAATCATATAGGAGCTTTGCAATAGAAAGGAAGGAAATTTTAAAAAAATTAAAATTTTACTTTATAAGCTAAATATGATTTTTTTAGTTAAATAAGTTCAGATTTAACATTATCTTAGAGTTTTCTTCTTTTTTATTGCAAAGTTTTTATATGATCTATAATATGATTTTACTGATGATAATCTCATATTAGTTTATCAAATTTTTCCAAAAATAAGTAACATTACATTTATTAATATATCAAAAATAAAGATATTTCAATTAATATTTATCCAAGAATTATGATATTTATACTAATATTGATTTTATTTATTAAGATGAATCTAATAAACTAAATTATATCATTCTATGATTACTAGATTATAAGATATAGTCAATTGAAGTTTTGATACTAAAAATAAAATATGTGTATTTATAAGAATTTTTGAACTATTTAGTTTAAAATTATTTTTATTATATAATATTCTTTATTTTAAATAATTGTATTAAAACAATAATTTGCTTTTAAAACTTTAGAAATAATTTTTTACTAATATTTTAATATTTAAAATTAATTTTAAACTTTAAAAGTATTTTTTTAATTTTAATTTATTAAAATTTAATAGTAAAATCACATCTAAAATTTCAAAAATAAAATTATTGTTAAAATTTTAAAGGTATTTTACTAATATTTTGAATATTACCTTTAAAACTTTTAATGACATTATTTATTTGTAAAAAATATTTCAAAGCTTTAAAAATAAACTTTATTTAAAAATATTATTTATTATTTTAAAATTTGAAATCTTTAGTTATCTAGAGATAGTTTTCTTGATATTTGTTTATTAATATATTTTCATAAACTTTATCTAATAATTCACTAGCAATTTTTTTATTTAAAATTTTAATAGATAGATAGATAAAGACATTTAAAAAATTGAATAACAAAAAAATTTTTAATAAAAGTAAATGACTCTAGCTGATTATAATATCCGGACTTTTAAAATTTTTTGAATTCTTTTTTTATAGTATCAATAAAATTTAAAAAGATGCATTATAATTATTTCTATTAAGTATTTTGTAATTTAATAAATTTAATATTACTTGATATATTTAAATACTTTTAAGAAAAACTTGCGTTCTTAAAGAAGCAGCTTTATCAAAAACTTCAGAATAATAATTACATTATACAGAAGGATGTAAAATTGGTTTATTATGATTTTTATTTCTATTGAATTTTATATTACGTATAAATGTCTTTGTTGGTTTAAAATAGTTAGTTTGTGTCTACACAATTGAAAAATAGGGGTAATAAGTAAATTTTTTTTATATATGGGTCATTATACAGATTGTTGTATCACCACATCTATAAATATCTGCATATGTACCTGTTTCAAGAAGTCCTTTTTAAGTTTACATTCTTTTGAACATATAACTATTTATTAAAAAGTATAACCTTGTCTTGAAGTAAGAACTTTTAAATTAAACTAATATTTTTAATACCTTGGGACAAAAATATTTTATTTGATCTCGATTTTTTTCATTATAAAATTAAGCAAAATGACAGTCTTAAACGATACAAAAATCTTGGCAGAGAATAACGATGCTCCTAATATGCAAGCACTTGAAAAAGCAATGTCGACAGCTTTTAATAAGTTTGCAGAATGTAAACAATTAAAAATTGATAATAGTAATTTTATTTCTGAAAAGATCAAAGAAATTGAAGAAGAAAGCAATAGTTTTAAAGAACACGCGAATAACTCAATCAAACAAAGTGATAAATTATCAAAATATGCCGAAGAAGTTGTCGTCTTTGCAGTTGCTTGTGCTGATCCAAGTTTTACTAAAGGAGAACTTTTAGATTTTTTGAAATCAACTTTGGAAGATGCCAAAAACAATAAAACCGAAGCAGAAAACTTAAAAGCAAAAATCAGTGGAATCGCAGCAAATCTAACCAATATACATAATGATTGTTCTCGTTATGCCAGTGAAATTAAAACAGATGCTAGAAAAATTGATTCAACCACTGTTAACAAATTAGAAAAGGTAGAATCTAAACAAAGAATTCTTGATAAAACTTGCAAAATTGGAACTGGAGTTGCTATTCTAGGTGGAGCAGTTTCTATAATTGCGGCACCGTTTACTGGAGGTACTTCTTTAGTTCTTGAAGCTATCGCCCTTTTAGAAGGAGGATTAATCGTGGCTGGATCCACAGGCGCAATTGCTCTAGGATCGAAATTTGCTTTAAGGAAAGAAAATAATGAGATTATTGCTCTAAATAAACAGTTGACCATAGAAAGAGATCAATTATCTTCACATATTGAATTATTAAATAAAAATCTTTCTTCAATCGTTCATGAAACTTCTGGCATCATAAATTTCTGGGGCGAACAAATTACTTCTCTTAACGAAATCATCGAGAAGCTTGAGCGATTTGATAACCAAGCTGATGAGCTTCTCTCAAGATTAGAAGCACTTTCCATTCAAAGGAAATGGAAAAATGTTAGCCGAGGATGCAAAGAATATAATTGTACAATTAGGACTGTTTTGCAAACTTCTAATATGGTAAATAAAATAAATTTATAACATTTTGACTTTTTATAACTTATATATTTATTTATTTCGTTTTTTTCATCTTGAATATATGGGGAAACTTGAAATTTAGAACATTTCCAATTAACTCTCATCATTCTTTAAAAGAAAATATTGTAAAATTTTGTTCAGTACATATATTTTTTTCTTAACTTGATTATTATAACTTATAGATAGGTATCGTGCAAAATATAATTGGGGAAAATAACATGAACTTTCATATGTACAATATATATATAGGATACATTATACGATCTAATATTTAGCACAAGCTCAAATAATAAAATAAATCCTTTATCTAAATACATGAATGTTTATACAATTGTCCGCATTCAAGTTCTAACTAATATCAAACAAGATCTCAAATAACCCTCTTCGGTAGAATAAATATACATACTTAGATAAAATCAGTTCATATTGAAATTTTTAGTTTATCAACATTGGTCTAACTAATTTGTATATAATATGGTCGATCTTTGAAATTTCCAATTTTGATCTCTGAGCTAAAAAGCAAATGGTTTTTAACACGTTTGAAAAGATCTTGAATCAAGATCGGCATCTATTAATGAGTGGGGATGGCCATTGTGAGATTACACGATATACATGGGACGGATGTTGTAAAGGACCTTTGGGAAATATTTATATGCTTGAAGAGATTGTTGGTGAGAGATATCGGAGAGCAACACCAAAGTCATTTGCAAACACGCGTTTTTTTGTGCATACTCATGGTAAATATTAAGCATTATTTGGATTTTGTGGCTTATAAATACCAAATAGTTTATTCATTTTGATTTTTATTTATAGTGGTAATGCACAATGCGAACGTACTCATTAATGTTTTTACCCAATTTGATTACAAAAGTTCATTGGGTAAAAAGTTTCAGATTTAAGGAAATGGTTTCGCTCTAAACATTAGTTCATATTACAGAAGATTTTGTTAGTTTTCGTGGTCTTGCTCTGGGATCTAAAAGTATATTTTAACATTTTCGCACAATTTAAAACTGAGAATGATGCCGGATTTTTTACCAACGTGTTCAAAGGCAAGATTTTGCTTTTTCTGATGGAGCAAAGATTAATTTTTTACCTTCCAAAATGGCTGGGAGCAATGAATATACGGTATACAAAATTGAGATAACATAATTTGTTTTTATATCAATAATTTAGAAATCTTTTCTTCTTGTTATGCTTTAATTTATTAACTTTTCTCCATGTTATTCAGGAAAGTTTGATCAATACAGCAAATAAGATCGAACAATTGCTGGATAAAGACAATGATGGTTATCCAAGTTATCCGCATCCAGGCAAACCTGATAAAGAACAGTACAAGAAAAGTATAAACTGTTGAGGTTATGCAAGTATTCCTATTCGAAAAGACTAATAATGGTGATTGAGATGCGTGTTAAGTTTCATTATAAAGATTTTAGACTAGCTGTTCGAATATTTGTAATCATATTATATGGGAGCGTTACCAATAAAACTGGAATCTAGATGAAGGGGTGAGAAAAGAGAAAATGTAATAAATTTAATTGTCCAGTGTAGCTATTGTAGAAAATCTGATCACATGAATGTCTCGCCGCGTGGTATAAACATATTTGTAATTACTTAAAAACGCGGAACGTGCTTTTGTAAAATAATCAGCGAGTATATATTAATATCCATAAGTTTGCAGTGAACCCTTGACATGTTACGCATTATACTTGTTAAATTGTGAAATAACCGTATAAGAATCAGTGAAGATGTTGACTTTGCATCCATTTGGGGAAATGAGAATGGCAGTCAAAATTGCGGCAAGTTCAGCTGTTGATGATGATGGAAAAGATGCTGTGAAAGCAGTAGAGTATGAGATTTGTGGAACTAATGGTAAATAGGGATGGTATCAGCTCAAAATGAGTCGACTCGAGTCAATTTTGGAACCGATTCTAAATTTAGCAGATTCTGATTCTCCTGGGTTTGGAACTACTTTTAATAAATATTTCTGGAACTGACTCTGGAACTGACGCTCAAATCGGTTCGATCTTTATCAATTTCTACATGTAGCTCATATTTTACTAATGAGAGCCGAAGCAGAGCTGATGAAGAACTGAAATAGAACTGACGAGCTGATCCCCATACATTTTTTGGAGTTATAATTATATTTTCTTATTCTGAAGATAAATCTATTGCTTCAAAGGGTCAGATCAGAATGGGGTTGGGTTATAAACCTAACTCATTTTTATTTTATATGCTAAATATGATTTTTGAATCAGGTTAAGACCTTTACATCTGGGTTAGGTATTCGACCTGATCCTTATAGTTGATACAGTACCTGAAGATAGCACAGACATTGCAGACTATTCAGACTATTAATGATCTTTCATATAAACAGTAACAATAATATAATACTGTAGTTAGCTAAACTAATGTGTTCCTTTCTAGATAAGTAATTTTGAAATTGTCAACCCTACTAATGTTCTAATTTTTCTGAACAAAAGAAGATATAAATTCTGATGTAATTTTAATTGTAAGTTATATCATTAATTTTAAAATCTAAAAAAGAACGGTTGGTAAGAAAAAAATTTTAAAAAAATTTTTACAAGATTTTTTTTATTATTTATTTGATTTTAAACCAATAAAAATAATTTCAATAGTTATCAAACCATCTAATTCTTCATTTATTAAAGTTAAATATTAGCATAAGAATCACTAACTAAAAAGCTAAAATTGTAACTAATGTTCAGTATAAATCAGATTTAGGTAAAATCCAATTCAATTTGAATCTGAAAAATTTGAATTCAATTCAATATAAATCTAACAAATATTGATCTGATCTGAATCTGAATCTGACAAATTTGAATCTAAATCTAAATCTAAATTGATAAATTAATAAATTTTTTTCTAATCTGTCTTTGAGTTTATCATTTATTATTTTTAACAAAAAATCTGTCTTTAATGTTTAGAATGGATTTTATTATTAAAAAATTAAAGTTTATTTATTTTTTTAATAATAAATACTATCTTTGACTTTCAGGATAAACTTTTTTATTTCAAATCAGATCTGAATTCAATTTAAATCTAAATTTAAATCTATCAAATTAATCTAATCTGAACCTGATAAATCAAATCATATCTAAATATTTGATTTAAATCTGATAAATTTGATTTGATTTGTCAGATTCAGATCAGATTCAGATCAAACTGAATTTTTTATAGAATATTAAGAATATTAATTATAACTAATTTTAATAATAAAGTTCAATTAGCAATTAAAAAATATAAAGTTAAACTTGAAAATGATAAAATTGAATTAAAAAAATTGAAAAAAATTTAATATAAATTATTGATTATATTATTTCTGTAGTAAAAATTTAAACATTTTAGTTTTAAAATTCTTAAAGTTGTTTGCAAAATTCTTTATCTATAACTAATTCTTTAAAATCATATAATTATCTTTGAAATTAAATAGTTAAAGATAAAAATAAAATACTTTTATTTAAATTATTTATTGTCTATTTGAAATATTTTACTTTTAATTAAAATAAGAATTCATTTTATTTACAAGTTATTCATTACTTTAATAAAGATTCTTCTTAGGAAATTAAAGTTTTTAATTTTGCAGTTGATGAATCTTTTAACAATTATATTAAAATAAAAGTTATTTTTGATTTATTATTATTTTACTTGAAAATAAGTTGATTATAATATTATACTATTTATAAACTGATCATTTATCATTTAAAAAGAAAAAATTAGAATTATATAATATTCTAAAAAAAATTAATAAATTTTTTTAATTAAAAGTAATAGAATATCATTTTCAATATCATATAGGAGGTTTGCTAGGAAAATGGGACTCTAAGCATTTTTTATTAAAATTTTAATTTTTATTGCATTTTAATCTAACATTCTCAAAAATTAAAATGCAATAAAAATTAAAATTTTAATAAAAAATGCTTAGAGCCCCATTTTCCTAACAAACCTTTTATATAGTTATAAATTTAATAAAATAAGTATAAAATCAGGCTGGAACCCGATTTATGTAATTCTACCTAATAATTATAATTATGGTATTAATCGATTCATACCTGATTGTCGTATCTACTGATTTCTATCTATTGATTGTTAATCAATAAATAAAGACCAATCGGAAGGTACCTGATTTATCAGCATTCAACTTGTGAAAATGGTGAAATTATATCAAACACTTAGTAAAATTTAGTGAAACTAAAGGTTTAAATGTTTAACCAATCCAAAATGAGTTTAGACAAGCAACCTTAGTTATATCATAACTAATAACAAAGCAAATATATCACAATTATACATTAACCACCAAATATGTTATTATAACATTTAAATTTTAATATTATATAATTTTAAAAGTATATACAATGACCTTTTTAGCCAACCAATTATGTTGCAAACATTTATATTTCAGTAAAATAATTCTTTAATTCAAATTTTTATATTTTTAAATTTACATATAAAATACTTCTTATTTTTAAATATTATTTGATTTGTAACTAAATTGTAATAGTAATTATATCTTATGTTATAACTTTTTTTTTAATAATATGAATACTATTTTTTAAATTTTATTATTATTATAAAAAGATATCAAAGTAAAAAATAATTTAATCTATATAAAAATATTTTATTTAATGATTATATACAAATATTTATTTAATAAATATTTTAAATATACAGTCAAACCTTGATATAGCAAACTCTTGATATAGCAAATTTTTAAATTAAATATATTAAAATTACCTTATTATAGTGAACTAATCAATTAAATTCTTTAAAAAATTTGTTATAAGCTTATAACGAAGTTGATATTCAGATCCTAGAATTCGTTATATCAAGAGTTTACTGTAGTATTCATTAATAAAATAAATTTTTTGTAAAAAATAATAAATATTTTATATAATTTTTAAACTATTATTTATAATTATAATAAAAGATTTTATAATTCAAAAATTTATAATATTATTTTATTGATTAATAATTACTTTGATCATTAATTTTACAATCTAAACATTCACTTTTCTGTTCATTTAATATATTATTTAATCTTTCAGTAAAATTAAGTAATTGACTAATATGATATGCTTGTGGATATGATTTAAAAATAACTTCATTATCATTAATAATATCATTATTTTGTATTTTTTTTAATACTTTATCTGCTTTATAAAAATCTAAAATGTCATTTCTTAATTCTTTTTTAAAATTATTAGTAATAATATTTTCTTTCCAATCTTTAATAATTTTTTTAATTTCTGATGCAGTTGGTCTTTTTAATGGATCCATATTCCAACATCTTTTCATTAAATTTATATAACATTGTGGAATATTTTTAATGATTTCAGGACGTTTACCTTTGCAAATATCTAAGCTAAGTTGAAAATCATGAGCTTCATTATCAAATGGAGAAATTCCAGATATAAATTCCCACATAATTATAGAAAAGCTATAAATATCACTAGCTAAAGTATAAGATTGTGAATTGTTTAATTAAGAATTGATCAAGAATTATTTTTGAGTTTCTTACTAGAATGTCTCCGATTCATCCA